TCTCAATGATCAAAGGAAGATAAATATCTTGGCCTGTTGTTTTTTTCTCTTCCTCCATGGATATTTAAGCTGGGATCATCTTGCCTGGTGATCAAAAGGGCTCAGAAACAAGAGAGGGCTCAATTGCTTGATGAGACTCGTCCAGAACCTCCTCATGAATCCTCCTCTATGATTGGAAATACTTTTATGGGCCCAGGAGGTCTCTTGGCCCCATTTGGACTCGGGTTGAAGAACGAAAAGAAAATGGAGTCAAAACACCGAGCAGCTGAGAAAGCTGGGAAAAGGAGCCGTCGGGGAACCTGGGTACGAACTGGGCAAAAGACCCTAAAGGAGGAAACCATCAATTCAGAGATCCAGCGCTGGAGCTTCAGGAATGTCGACTACCAGGACGCCAAAGGGCCGCGAGAGCTTTGCAGCCATCTCCATCGCCTTTGCCATCAGTGGTTGCAGCCGGAAAGGCAGACCAAGGCTCAGATGTTAGATCTGGTGCTTCTGGAGCAGTTCCTGGCTCTCCTGCCTTCAGAGATGGAGAGCTGGGTGCGGGAGTGTGGAGCAGAGACCAGCTCCCAGGCGGTGGCCCTGGCTGAAGGCTTCCTTCTGAGCCAAACAGAGGAGCAGAAGGAGCAGGGACAACTGCAGGTAAGAGACGCTTATTCTAAGACTTCTAAAGGGATGTTAGGAAAGATAAACAATGTTTGAACTCTTCATTATTTCTTAACTACAGTTTCTGGTCTTAAAGGCTGTAAAGTTGTGGGCAGAGAAGGAAATGCTTCTCTACCCACAATGGTTACCAGCATCAAATTCCTGGGTGTGCAGCTAACGAGTAGGCTGGCTTGGTCGCTCAACAGTGAGAAACTGGCGAAGCGGGCACAGCAGCGCCTGCATTTTTTGCATCGCATGAGAAAAGCACATCTTCCTTCCCCTGTCCTGACCACTTTCTACAGGGGGACGATCGAGAGCATCCTGTCATACAGCATCACAGTCTGGTTTGGAAGCATCACTGCTTCAGACAGGAAGGCGGTGCAGAGAGTGGTGAGGATGGCCAAAAAGATCATTGGCAGTTCCCTCCCTCCCATCCAGGACATAGCACAGAAGCGTTGCTTGAGCAGGGTCCGTAAGATTATCTGGGACACTACACATCCTCTTCACGACCTGTTTTCCTTGTTACCTTCTAGGAGGAGGCTTCGTGGTATCCGTAGCAGAACATCCAGATTCAGCCATAGTTTAATTCCATACAGCAGTAGTGGCGAACCTATGGCACGGGTGCCAAAGGTGGCACTCAGAGCCCTCTCTGTGGGCACGCGCGCCGTCGCATCAGTCCTAGGCCTTCAGCTGGGTTTTATAAAACCTTTTCGCTTTAGGTCTCCGCCGCCATGTACAAAAAAAAAAAAGATTCAATCAATCAGTCAATTTCAACTTCTTGCAGGAAAAAAAGATCTTGCAAAGTTGGAATTGATTGATTGAACTTTTTAATCCCACTCAATCTGCCGTTACCACCGCAGCCATGCCCACCCAATGCGCCACACCCACCCAATTGGCCACACCTACCCGCCACCCGACGATGCATAAGTGGTTTTGGGTTGCAGTTTGGGCACTCGGTCTCTAAATGTTCGCCATCACTGCCATACAGCATTAACTCTCAAGCTTCCTCCTTCCATTATATATTCAAGATGCACAGCATTTAATATTTATTGTTATGTATATGTAGGGGTATGGGTCTATACATATGTTGAATATAGTATGTTTAGGTGTGTGTCATGTATGTGTTTCACTTTGAGAACGGGCAACTAAATTTCATTTTTGATGTGTGCCGTTGTGCCCACAATAAAAAAATGACAATAAAGGTTATCTTATCTCTGTGTGCCGTTCCCTTCATTCATCTCCTTTTTTTCTGCCTGGAGTTACAGATTCTGGAGATGATCACTGAACATCCCATGAGGAGGAGAGACCTGTCCGATCCCCCTCAGGAGCTGCTTCCTACTGTCCCCTCCCAGAATGACCAAAGTTGGGACACCTCTCGAGGTAAGGGAGAGGGTTCCTTCCAAGCCACATACATAAAGTTTCCCAGAGAGTCTGTAGCTCTCTCTTCTTCAGTGGATCCTCTTGAGTGTGGTATCTCCCCACATTTTACTAATTTTGCTTCCGCAAAATTTTTGTCTCCCTCTTAGGGAACAGAACGATGTCGCTGGTCTTTGTAGGGGCATCTCCTTTTTCTGTTGGCGCTGAGACAGCAGCTGGATCTCCAGTTCAGGTAGCACTTAATTCTTATCTTCCAGCCTGCCAGTGGCTCCAGCAGGAGCACGTTCCACAGGAATCCAGTGAGAAGCTGAAAGTGGCTTGTCTTTCATGTGCCTATTGATGACAGCCAGACAGAATCCTGGGATGGGCTCTTCAAAACACTCATGAAGTTGTTGTATTGACCTTGGGGTCTGGTCCCACAGGCCATAGGGATGAAATGTCAGAGAGGACTTCCCCGCCCCTGCCTGCACACACCAGGAAGAACTGGAGCCAGGGATGGGTGGAGTGTCCAGAACCCATCTGCCAGTGGATCTAGAAGGAAACTGGGATTTCTTTCACCGCATGGACCTGAAATTCCCACAGGAAACAATCAAGTTGATAATAAGTCTGGCTGTCAATTTTCTTGCAAAAACGTTGCCTTGTTTAATTCGCTTCAAAGGTCCGTTTTTAGGGTTTGTGAACAAATGGACCTTTTTCTGTTAATTGGGAGTATAGGTTTCCTGTTTCAGGGTCTGGTGTCCTTCGAGGAGGTGGCTGTGGATTTCTCTGAGGAGGAGTGGGCTCAGCTGGATCCTCATCAAAAGGCTCTCCATGGAGAAGTCATGCTGGAAAACTCCAGGAATGTGGCCTCGCTGGGTAAGAGCCCTCCTGCACTATGAATTCCAGGGCTTTGTTGATGCAAAGAGAAATCATGAGCCCAAATTACGGTCAGTTTCCCATCTGTATAAGGAGAAGGAAGAACGAAAAGTTTAGCACGTTGTCTTATTTCAAAATGCAAACTTCTAAAAAGTTTTATTCCGTCTGTATCTCTCTTTCCAAATTTTCCTTCGAACTTTGCTCTTCATAAATTTTTAGTCTATTAAAACCTCTAGCCTTTTGAACATCTATTAAATTAAGGTAAGCCAAATTTTTAATACAGTACAGAAGGTTTTCTGTTGTCTGTCATATCTATTAAGGAACAGAGATCAGAGATTGGGAATAGTAAAATGCAGGCATACCTCAGAGATGTTGCTGGTTCAGTTCCAGACAACCACAATAAAGCAAATATCACAATAAAGCGAAGAATTATTATTTTTTGTTTCCCAGTATTCACAAAGTTATGCTCAGGCTATTATGTAGACTTCGACTTATGGTGACAATTGGGAATGGAACTGCTGTTGCTAAGTGATACCTTGCTCAATAGTAGTAACTGGGAGAGGGATCTCGGAGTCCTAGTGGACAATCACTTAAATATGAGCCAGCAGTGTGCTGCAGCTGCCAAAAAGGCCAACACAGTGCTAGGCTGCATTAACAGAGGGATAGAATCAAGATCACGGGAAGTATTAATACCACTTTACAAGGCCTTGGTAAGGCCCCACTTGGAATACTGCATCCAGTTTTGGTCACTATGATGTAAAAAAGATGTTGAGACTCTAGGAAAGAGTACAGAGAAGAGCAACAAAGATGATTAGGGGACTGGAGGCTAAAGCATATAAGGAACGGCTGCTGGAATTGGGTATGTCTAGTTTAATGAAGATAATAATAATAATAGTAATGTTGGAAGGGACCTTGGAGGTCATCTAGTCCAACCTCCTGTTCAGGCAGGAAACCCTATACCATTTCGGACAAATGGCTGCCCAGTCTTTTCTTAAAAACTTCCAGTGTTGGAGTAGGACGAGGGGGGACATGATAGCAGTGTTCCAATAGCTCAGGGGTTGCCAGAAAGATGAGGGAGTCAAGCTATTTTCCAAAGCGCCCGAAGGCAGGACAAGAAGCAACGGATGGAAACTGACTAAAGAGAGAAGCAACCTGGAACTAAGGAGAAATTTCCTGACAGTTAGAACAATTAATCAATGGAACAACCTGCCTCCAGAAGCGGTAAATGCTCCAACACTGGAAGTTTTTAAGAAGAGACTGGACAGCCATTTGTCTGAAATGGTGTAGGGTTTCCTGCTTGAGCAAGAGGTTGGACTAGAAGACCTCCAAGGCCCCTTCCAACTTTTTTTATTATTATTATTGTTGTTATTATTATTATTATTATTAAAATGAATTGTGTCTGATGTTATGACCTCTTTTGCTGCAGTCGTTAAGCAAATCACTGTGGTCATCAGGTGAATCTGGCTTCCCTCGTTGATTGCTTTTTGGAAGCTCCTGGGAAGCCTATAAATGGCAATCACGTAACTGTGGGATGCCGCAGCAATTGTAGATATATGCCGATTGCCAAGCGCCTTGATTGTAATGGTGTGATTGCAGGGATGCGGTGACGATTGTAAAAAGCAAAGGACCAGTCGTAACTCCCTTTTTTCAGCACCACTGTAACTTGGAATGGCTGTTAAATGAATAGTTGTAAGTTGAGGACTGCCTTCATTATGTAGGCAATATGTCTAAACAAATGATGTACGTGCCTTAATTGAAAACATTTTATTGCTAAAAAAAAAGCGGCTCTGATGAATAATAATGAAAAAGTTTGCAATAGTGCAAGAATTACCAAAATGTAAGAGAGCAAGTGCTGATAGAAAAATGGCACCAATAGACTTGCTCAACACCGGGTTGTGATAAGCCTTCAATTCATGAAAAAAACCCGCCATATCTGCCAAGTGCAATAAAACAAAGTATGCCTGTATCAGCTTTGATATGTTCTTCCTTTGCCTTTAAGTTCTGTTCTTTTCTCATCAGCAAACACAGCTTCTCACAGCTTTTATTTCATTTTTGTACCCTTGTTCTTTTTTTTCCCCAAAGGAACTCAGAGGACCTTGCCCCGTACTCCACGGAAACGAACAAACACAGGAGGTAAGCCGTATAAATGCTTGGAATGTGGGAAGATCTTCAGCAAGAGCAGCAATCTCACGTCCCACAAAAGAATCCACACAGGGGAGAAGCCGTATACATGCCTAGAATGCGGAAAGAGCTTCAGTCGGAGCAGTAGTTTCTCAGCGCATAAAAGGATCCACACAGGAGAGAAACCGTATGAATGCCTGGAATGTGGCAAGCGATTCAGTGAGAGTAGTCATCTCATTGCACATAAAAGGATCCACACAGGGGAAAAACCTTACGAATGTATAGAATGTGGGAAGAGCTTCAGTCAGAGCAGTAGCTTTGCCGCACATCGAAGAATCCACACCGGGGAGAAACCCTACAAATGTATGGAGTGTGGGAAGAGCTTCAATACAAGTACGCACCTGACTTCTCATAAAAGGATCCACACAGGAGAAAAACCGTACAAATGCACAGAGTGTGGAAAGAGCTTCAGTGAAAATGGGGCTCTTACTTCACATAGGAGGATCCACACCGGCGAGAAACCATACAAATGCATGGAGTGTGGAAAGTGCTTCAGTCAGAGCAGTTCTTTTACTCTTCATAAAAAGAGGCATAAAGGAGAGACGCCATATATATGCATCAAGTGGTAAAAAGAACATCCTTAGTCTGCAGTTATTTTCCTTCCCATAAGAGGGTGTTCAAAGTATAGACATGGCTTGAATGCATGGAGTTCGGAAAACCCATCAGTCAGATCAGTCTTTTTACAACACGTCCATCAACCACATAGATACTCCCAATAACTTTTTTTTAAGTGGAGAGTGATAACTGTGGTGGGCAAAGCCGTATTATAAAAAAATGTGTGGGATCAGATGAAGTAAACTAAATTTGACATTATTTCTTTCCTTAAATTCAATACAGATCTAGTTAAATTAATTTTAAAAATGGCTGGTATGATTATTCCCAAGTCATGTTCTTATCTGTTTCCCTCTTTTGACATACCAAATTAAAATCTGGTGGCAGCATTTGGAGGAAATTTGGAGGGACGGGAATTTTGCGGACCATGTGGCCTGGGACTCGGGTCCTATACTCAGATATAATAGTAAAGAAAGTTGAAAACATCACTGAAGGCATAGAAAATACACTCAAGGCATCGGTTTTTTAATGCTTAGGCCATTGTCTGATTGAGACTTCAGCCAAGGATGTAATTCATGTTTAGTGCTTACAGACTAATCTAGAATATATATAGGTAGTTCTTGACTTATGACTGGTTGCTTAGTGACTGTTCAAAGTTACAACAGACCCCCTAAATGGGACCTGTGACACTTGAAGTTCTGGCATCACCCTCCCCAAGACACACGACCACATTTTATTTTGCACTTGCCAACTGGCCAGCATTTAAGCTGGTTACTTAGAGCCATGGTGGCACAGTGGTTAGAATGCAGTACTGCAGGCTACTTCTGTTGACTGCCGGCTGCCAGAAGTTCAATCCTGATCGGCTCAAGGTTGACTCGGCCTTCCATCCTTTCGAGTCAGCAAATGAGGACTGTTGGGGGCAAGATGCTGACTCTGTAAACCGCTTAGAGAGGGCTGTAAAGCACTGTGAAGCGATATATAAGTCTAAGTCAGGGATCGGCAATCTTAAACAATCAAAGAACCATTTGGACCCGTTTTCCACCAAAAAGTAAACACCGGGAGTCACAAAACCCTTTTGACATCTAAAATGAAGATAACACTGCATATATTGTTTTTTACGTTTATGCTACATATAAGAAAACTATAGTGTGTTGCATTTATGAAATCAATGAACTGCTACAGAGAAAACAATTTTTTATTTCTGCATGCAACAAAAACATTTTGAACTCCGGTAAAAAAAAACATTGGGTTGAAGGTTATTTTCAAATAAAATACTCAGTGTCTATTTGAATCTTCCTCGTATTTATGAAATAAAAGGCCAAGCTTAATTAAATTCAATTAGTAGTGAAAGCAAATGAATCTACCCATGTAGCATTAAAAATTGTGTTTTCTTTTGAAACTTAATTTTCTTGGATTTATCCATGGTTGGCCTATCGGGTCAAAAAGCACAATAAATCTCATGCCGATGGGCGTCGCACATTGGCAGTTGTGACGCATATTTTGAGTGACAGAGAGCCACAGCAGAGGGATGAAAGAGCCACATGCTGCTCCGGAGCCGCGGGTTGCCGACCCCTGATCTTAAGTGCTATGGCAATTGCTACTTCTGGATTCTGGCAAAAACCAGCTGATAGCAAACACCGACTCACTTTACAGCCACTTAACAACTGTTGCAAAAATGTTTTAAAATGGGCATGGTCATGCTTTACGGCTTTTGCAGCTTATGACCAGAGTTGCCAGGCTCAATTATGGTCGTACGTCAAGCATTACCTCTATCCTGTTCTGATTTGTTCCAGAACACTTTCTGCATAGATCACTCATGGTTAACTCTTAAAATGAGATAAAACTTCTAAAAACCATGGAACATCTCATATCTTGTTGGAGGGCTCTTGCAACTATGACTTTTCAAGAGAATAAAACTCTGGAAGGTACACAGGTACTCTGGGAATGAACGGGAGAGAGAGAGATTACAACAATTCATTCCAAGTTACAATGGCACTGAAAAAAGGATTTGACTGTTTTTCACACTTACAACTATTGCTGCATCCCCCTGATCATGTGATCAAAATTCAGACACTTGACTCATATTTATGATGGTTGCAATGTTCTGGGGTTATGTGCTCATCTTTTTCAACCTCGACAAGCAGTCAATCGGGCAGCCACTTAACAACAGTATTACTAACTTAACAATTGTGGCAAGAAAAAGTGTCAACTGGGGCAAAATTTCCACTTAGCAATCATCTTTTTGAGCAACAAAAATTTGGGGCTCAAATGTGACTGTAAATTGAGTTCTCCCTGTACTAGGTTTTGTATGGCCATCAAGCGTACCAGGAAAAAAGGTGAAGATTTGAGGGATTTATAAAAACAAAAATCGTGGAATAAAGACAAGCAGAGCACAAAAGAAACCATTGGGGTTCTAGGAAAAGTTTGATAGTGAGCTGAAAAAGAGAATGCATTAAAGAGGGAAAGAGAATGTAATGCATGAAAGGTAGTGAAAGAGGCTAAACAAATCCAAAAAACTTTTTCCGATCTTTTAACAAGAAAATAAGGGGAGTATATAAACTGTTGAAAGAAAAGAAAAAACCAAAAACCAACAGTTAAAAGACAAAGTAACCCAAACATATTTTCCTGCTTTCCAAAGAAGGAAGAAGAGGATTCCAGGAGCTGAAACCAAATCCATTTTACACGGATATCTGGGAAAAGTAGAAAGCAAAAATCGAGCACTAAGCAGGTAGAAGACAATGAAGTGATTGCTGGAAGTCAAGAGTTGTCAGAAAAAGCAACAACTGTGCAATTAAAGCTGCGGCAGGGAGAAAACGCGACTTTGCTGAATTGCAATTGCCCATGCTCATTGACAACTGAATGATATATGATAATGCCTGTGGTGATTTAAGTATGTGGAGGAAAAATAAGGATTAGTAAAAGAAGAAAAGGCTGGCATGAGAAAAAAAAAAACAACTAACAGCATATCTGAGTGATTAAAACTATATCAATATTCAACATGGATGCTTTGAAGATTTGAAAGCAGATTGTAAAAGATTGATCTGTGAGCACTCTAAAAAAAGAGGTTACTAGAGGTTTACTAGCATGGATTTGTCAGAAACAAATGTTTCCCAACCAGCCTTCCCTCATTTTTAGGATTGAGTAACTTCTTTAAATGTAATAAAAATTGGTTTCTGCAAAGCACTTGACCGAGTAGCCAGTGATGTTCTGAGTAGTAAGTTTAATTTAGTGTGATTGGAATGGCATGACAATTAAGTGGATGCATAATGACTCAAGACTTTTACTCAGAACATGCTCAACTATGCTTCTTCATCAAACTGGAGGAAGATAATAAATGGGATACTACAACATGAAACTTAGGCTTTGTTTAATATTTTCATCATTCATTCAACCAAAGATTAAGAGGGGATTGTTTATCAAATTTTCAAGTCATGCAAAATTGGATGAGGTCATTTTTATCCTAAAAGTAGCCAAAGTATCCCCCCAAAAGTACACATAGAATAGAATCAGAATAGAGCTGGAAGGGACCTTGGAGGTCTTCTAGTCCAGCCCCCGCTCAAGCAGGAGGCCCTACCATTTCAAACACTTGGTTGTCCAATCTCTTCTTAAAAACCTCAAATGATGAAGCATCCACAACTTCTGAAGGCAATCTGTTCCACTGCTTAATTGTCTTCACTCTTAGGAAGTTTCTTCTTAATTCCAGGTTGCTTCTCTCCTTGATTAGTTTCCATCCATTGTTTCTTGTCCTGTCTTCAGGTGTTTTGGTAAATAAACTGACACCCTCCTCCTTGTGGCAGCCTCTCAAATACTGGAATACTGCTATCATGTCCCCTTTAGTTCTATATTTGCATTTTATATGTAAACATATATATTTTCTAAGGTAGAGTAGAAAGGATGGGGACTTTGGGGCCGATTTTCAGACATTTTCTCTGGAGCATGTTTATGATCTGGGTGACTCTCTTGCCTCTTGGTCAGGAAATGCTGGAATTAAATAATGAAATGTCGTTTGAAAAAGTTTGAAAAGCTCTGGTATAAACGATCAGTCAGGAACTTACTCTGGAGATTCTCCATCCTCCAGGTCAGGGGTGTCAAAACTGCTGGCCCGCGGACTGGATGTGTCACGTGGAAGCTGCGCCCACCCCATTGCCAGCAATGGCAAAATCGGCCCAATACGTTGTGTGACGTCACGTGACGTCGCGAGTTTGACATGTCTGCTCCAGGTCATGGTTGTCCCAATGGTGTTTTTTTCCCCCAAAAAAAGCAACTCGCTTCTCAACCAAAAAACTTCTGATCAGAACAGGAAAAGGTGCTTTTTTCAAAAAGTTGCCTTTGGAAAAATAGCATCTTTGGGACAACTGGTCACAAGCATCTCCATTATCCATGCCCTCTGAATTAACATGAATACGTCTCTTCCTAAATACATAAAGGAATAAATTGGTTCCAAGAAAGAAATACAGGTAATTCTTGAGTTATGATGGCCACAGGGACTGGAATCTCTGTTGCTAAGAAATGTGAGAGTAAAGCATGATGTTGCATGACTGCATAGCTTGGTGGTGGCAATGCCTATAATCCTGGGTGCTGTTGGAACCTCAGGATGGCATGGGTCATTCGATGGGGGGGTGGTAAAGGGAGGTGGTCCTGCAGGCAGGCACTATGGCATGCTGGCTAGGGAATTCCAGGAATTGAAATCCATACAAGCCCAAGATTACCAAGTTGAGAAATACTGTTCTAGATTGCTGGCTTTCGTACTTCAAAGCCCACCAGATCTGGAAAAAGTGCTTTGGATGGGAGGCCACCTGGAAGCCCAAATCTCAACTAACTTGGGAAGATCCAGAAAGCAACTTCTGTGGCTGCTAAGACAAATGCTGGGAGGTGGCTGTCAGTTCCCTGGAAACCGAGCTTGACTTTTAATAAAACATAATGTTCTTTGACCCATTTTTCCCCCTGGCATCAAGTGTCAGGGATGATGACAGCCTGTCTTTCTGTCACTCTATTACAGGGGGCAAATATCCAGAGGAGAACAAAGTACAGATGGTTGGGCATCATTTGCCGCCTTCTAGAGCTCGCCCAGATTTTTGCAGCCCAGATACGGTCTTCCCTACATTTCTTTCCCTCTCCTGCCGATACTTCCAACAGGCGACCAACAAAATGAAAAATAATGTGCAGAAAAGCAAGGTTTTATACTTCGGCAGAAAAAACCAAAGGTACAAATACAGATTAGCCGAAACCTTGCTCAAAAACAGTAACTGTGAGAAGGACCTTGGAGTCCTACCTAGTGGACGATCACTTAAACATGAGCTAGTCATGTGCGGCAGCAGCCCAAAACGCTAATATAATCCTTACTTGTATAAACAGAGGCATAGAATCAAAATAATGTGAAGTACGTTATAAAGCCTTAGTAAGGCCACACCTGGAATACCGCATCCAGTTTTGATCACCACATAAAGAAAACAGATGTTGACACTTTGGAAAAAGTATAAAAAACAGCAACGAAGATGATTAAAGGCCTGGAGACTAAAACATACAAAGAACGGTTGCAGGATTTGGGTTTGGCCAGTCTAGAGAAAAGGACTAGGGGGGGACATGATAGCAGTATTCCAGAATTTGAGGGGCTGCCACAAAGAAGAGGGGGTCAAATTATTCTCCAAAGCAGCAGAAGGCAGGACAAGAATCAATGGATGGAAACTGATCAAAGAGAGAAGCAACTTGGAATTAAGGAGAAACTTCCTAACAATTAACCAGTGGAACAGAAGTTGCCTTCAGAAATTGTGGGGGCTCCATCACTGGAGGTTTTTAAGAAGAGACTGGACAGTCACTTGTTTGAAATGGTATAGGATCTCTTGCCTGAGCAGGGGGCTGGACTAGAAGACCACCAAGGTCCCTTCCAGCTCTATTCTGATTCTGACAGAGGAGGCGCCGGAGAGCCCTGGCTGAGCCAGCAGGGATTGCAGAAAACATCCGCTAGGGGGCTCCCGGCGCAAAAACAGGAAAACGGGCAGCCTCCGCCTTCAGAAGGAGACCACGCATGCGCCGGATAAAATTTGCCAGCAGCTGATAAGAGGCGCAATATTGGAGAATCCGTAGGCGAGACCTCCTGTTGCAATCCTGCGTGACTCCGGAGCCTTTTAAAAAAGCATCCGAGTCATTTTTCGGTATTTTTTCCATGCAAGCCTCCCTTTCCATTTCCTTGGCACCTCAGCCTTTCTAGCAAAAAAATCCCTGATGCTGATTCGCGCAGCATTTTTCTAAGGAGGGGAGTGGGATAAGGGGACGGAAGGGGGGGGTCAAGGAGAGAGAGAAAAGAAGCCCCCAGATGCTCATAAGGACACGATCCCGTTGCACCTCCCAGCATGCGGGATCCAGGAACATTGCAGGGGCTAGTAGATTATCGAAACAGATTCCCCTCCCCATTTGGGGGTGGGGGGGAGAGGGGGAAAGAGTTAAAAGCGATGGGATGCAATCCCCGCCCGCAATCCTAGGAAAGGATCACGTGGTCTGCGAAGGGTCGCCTCCCACTCCTGCCTAGGGAGGGGCGGCGGCGTTTGCACCGTCTCTCAAGGAAGCTCGCAGGGTGGATCCAGAGCTGGACGTGCGCAAGGCTCATGCACAACTGGGCAGAGAGCTTGACATCGCTTCGGGAGGGGGCCGGGCAAGAGACACCCTCCCTCTAAATTACTGCACCCGCTTCTCGCACCCGGCGAACGGCTGACAAGAAGCGCACGGGCCCCGCGGTAGGAAGGTCCGGGGGCGCTGGGTTGCAGAAGGGCCAGATCGGTGGCTGCGCTACTCTGGCCCACCACGAGAGGGCGCCGTCGATCCGGTTAGGGTTAGACAGCGGTTTCTCTAGCTCCTTCTGCTCCTAGCGGTCATCCGCGGTATTGCAGTGCGGCATTGGTGCGAGGTGTGTACGTGCTAAGCCCAAACCTAGGCTGGCTGATCCGGCTTGGGGATTCCCTCACCCCATCATCCCAGATCCCCCTGAAAAAGGGGATTTGGCTCCGTGGCTGCCCTTGGTGGGAGTGTGAGAGATGCTCTCCAGGTGAGGGAGGAAAGCTGCTGCCCAGCCAAGCTAGAACAAAGCTTCCTCCCTCTCTGCCTTGGAGTCCGACTTGTACTCCACCTTAGATTAGAAGTAGGAAGCACCTGGGTTGGCAAGGCTCTCCTCCAGAAGAACCTATCGGGGTCTCATCCATGCCACTCTGCTCCGAGGAATCAAAGTAGCTTTGAGACCCAAGGAGTCTTTGGCTCCCTTTCGCAGGTGCCTCGGAGAAGCAGCGGCGGCGGAAAATGAGCACAAATGAAGCTACGGTCAGCTTCCACGGCATCCTAGCAGGAAGCCACGGGGGATTCTGGGGAGGAACCAGGGTGAAGATCCTGAAAGAAGATGCCCTCACTTGGAATGCCCAGCGT